GGAAAAAAAATCATTGTTAAAGGAGAAAAGAAACGTGGTTATATGCTCTGAGCCTTCTCATGTTACTGTTGGAAGTGACATTTCTTAAAAAAAACAAAACAAAAAACCCAAACAACCCCCCCCCAAAACTACCAGGAAAACCCCCCATTTCTCAGCATGGAAATCCTGAGTAAAACTGAAAAAGAAAATAGCCACCTGCCCCCAAAACCACTTACCAAAAATTAACGATGACCACTGCTTTTCAACTTCTGAACTTTAATACCTAAGAACTGATTAATCTTCAAACCAATTTTCTGTATAATCTTACAGATTTAAATATATACAGATCTAGAAGTCTAATTCTTAAAAAAGCAGTTGCACAACAGATTGCAATGTGTTGTGATCTGTTACAAATTACATTAATAAATACTTTTCAGTCTAGGATATACAGTACAATAAAATTAAGTGTAGACAGATAGCAGATGCTTGCCCAAATTCTGTACTGGCATAATCAAGATGAACTTTTCATAGTAAATATTCTATAAATTTTTTGTTTAGCATTTTGTGGGTATGACTGTATTTACCTGTAAGTTCATGTATACACAGGTGTAACTATTTAATTCAAACACTTGAGTGTGCATATGTGTATGTAGAATAAGATTTTACCTTTTTACATTCCAACCAACCCTAAAATGGAACACTAAGTCGATAGCCTACAAATTAAATACCTATGTCCTATTTTTAAAGAAATTACAGCAGATGTTTTAACTTGGTTATAAAAATTCTTGTACTGTTGTTGTAGTATTGTACAATTATAAATGCCAAAGCATTTTAATAGTAACTTAAAAATCTTAAAAAAACTTACAGACATATGTATTTCAACAATCTTTCCTTTTCTCAATTATTATACTAGGAAGCACACTGGCCAGAGCTATGTGGCAGAATGGGAAGATCAGGCCAACAGGCAGAGGCACAGGAAAAGTCAAATATTCAAGTAACTCGATTAAATACCACTCCACTGTGTATTTTCTAGACATTATTCTTTGGTTTAATGTGGATAACTGTCAATAACACTATTCCATTTAAAAACTTCCTTATGTACAAACACCCAGGACAAACTACAGTTACGTTGTTAATTTGTTAGCACATGCTTATCTCAAATTAAAAATATATGCATACATTTTGTAATACCTATACTTTTTGCAGAAGAATGGAAAGTATTGTAAGTGCAACCTGGTTACCATGGACATACTTCATTCTCAACGCTATTTGGAGGTTCCAGAGTTAAAGCAATTCACTGCCACACTGCTTACTCCATTGTCATTTCTTCATGAAAAAGAAATGAAAAGGATGAGCAGAACCAAATCTAAACAGCAGCGACTGGCCAAGGCTTCGGATAAAAAGTCATAGCAATTGGTTAAACAACTAAAGTATTTAAGGGAAAATCAGCAACAAATTACTTAGTCTAGTATTTATTGTCAAAATTTTTCTGAACCGTAGGTTACCAGAAGCATAGTACTAATTGGGTTTTATGAGAAAAGAATATTTAAAGTTTGCCATGGTGAGCCATCTTTTGAGGATGCTGGGCTCAGCCTTCACTTAATTTAATGTATTTTGGAAGTTATAGAAATACAGACAAGTTTCACATGACAGACTGATACCAAATGATGAGAAACTTCTGGGGGAAGCTGAAGAAAGATGATAGGAATTTCAAAACCCTCTTAGAAAGGCATATATGAGAAACTGTTTCCTTCTCCAATATACATTTTTAGGATTTCAAACTTCTCCAGACTCAGCTTTCTGTCTTGCTTAAAATTAGGAACTCAGAATATAATTTCTCAGATTACAGGTTGTTTGGAGAGTAATTTTCCCTGTTTTTCTCTTAAATTGTTCTTCGTTAAACAGTTCAACATTCACTGAAGGAGGAAGGCAACTCCAGAGTCTAGAAAACAGTGCTTGCTGAGATTTAGGAGATCTAAATTCAGATGTTTTTCTCTGTCCCAGGTGAACAGCCTAAACTGACAGTCTTTCTTTTTGACCTTGGATTTGTCACAGCAGTCCAAGCTCTCATTCCCCTGTGCAGCAACGGAAACATTGTGTCTTCCACTGGAAAAAGCAGTCACATTCTCAGTCTCAGCGACTTTACCTCTACTAAATCTCTTCTTCCATTTTGTTTTATCCCATATTTTATTACTTTTCAACGGATTAAAAAAAAAAAAAAAGTCTGCTTTTGGCCGGGTTTTGTGGATTGGAGGAGACTATAAAAAAATATGTTGCCTTACTATTTGATTTCAAAATTAGAGTATTTAAATGTTTCCGTCCCTCATTTTATTTCATTTTCTCTTGCAGAATATAATTGCATTTTTTCTGCAATTTCAGATAAATCTGTTATTTTAAAGCCTTGCCTTTTCATGCACTTCACTATAGAAATCACCCATTTTACCCTCACAGAAATCTTTAAAAAATAAAAGTGAAATAAATACCAGCATTACTGAAACATCTTCAAGGAGATACCTATAAGATAGAGGTTTCTAAAGCTACAATTTGTATACCCAAATATCTTTCAGTTAATTAATTGCTTGAA